AAATTGTCTTTTTTTTTAAATACATAGATATGTACAGTATGTAAGCATTCCTCTAAAATCAATCAGTGTTGTAAATTAAGAGCATTATTGTATGCCTAACTGCTTACAACATATAACGATTTAAGGAACTCTATATTAAAATGAAATTATTACATTAAATGACATTAAGAGCTTTTAAAATATTAATTTTATGATACATTTTTATGATAAATTTAATTTTTGCATATACTTGGGCAAAAAAATTTACATTATTATGGTCAACTGCTCAGATACCTCCAGTCAATATGTGGCTGAGTCAGGCAACCACACTTCTACCTCTGGAAAAATTAACCTATGATTTACATCAAAGATCTGATGGATCCATTTGGTCCTCATGGATTTTTCTAAAAAAAAAAAAAAAAAAAAAATTAATCTCCTTTTATTTTTATCCTTACTTTGAAACATTTGTATTAATTTGTTAGAATGTCTAACAAAAAACTGCTGCACTTGTTGTGAGATAACAGTGCGACTGTTGTTATTCTGAAAATAAAAATTAACTTTGTATAATGTTTTATTGAATGCAAGATAAAAAATAAAATATTTTCCAAGAGATGGATTGCGGCTGGAAGAGCATCTGCTGCATAAAAACATGCTGGAAAAGTTTGCGGTTCATAGCACTGTGGCGACCCCTGGTTAATAAAGGTACTAAGCCAAAAAGAAAATGAATGAATGAAAATAAAATATGTATTGAAATATGTATTTTTGGTAGACATAGAACTACACAGTAACTTATAAATACAGCACAGAACTATTTTACTTCTAGTTTAGATAATTTAAATGTTTGCATTTTTATTTTGTTGGTTATTGGCTATGTATTTTTAATCATTTGGAGGTTTGAACTATTCGCAGCATTTGAAAGGATATCTTTTCATCATTGTTACCTCATTTCTCAATATTTTCATGATTCTTACAATGCAGCAAATCTTACAATCATTTGATCATAAAGAAAATAATTAACAAATTAACCCACATGCAGGACAAAGACATTATGTGGAATCATTATTAAACACAAGTTCATCCATTGTCATCAAATCATACTGTTACACAAACAGTTGAAGATTTAGAAAGTAAAAATAATCAGATAAAGAGTGGTTTTTAAACAAATACATGTCTTTAAAAAGGTTTTATTTATAAACATTTACATATTTTAAAAGAGCTTTTATCCATATTTCAAATAAAGTGAAAACAATTAAATATCACATGATGACCATGAATGAAACACACTTTCAGAATTACATCCACACATATTATTCTGAACTCATAACATTTGTGATGAACATAGATCACTATTGCTAATAACTTGTAATTAAAGAGGATACTAATGTTTAGCTTATTTTTACAACTTTTTTTTTTTTTTTTTTTACCACAACTG